TTTGATAGGAATCGCACCTGTGTGTCACTGGGAGCAGACAGGAGATGTCAACTCTGACAAGAGTCAACTGAGCCACCAACTGCTGAGCCACCCAGGCATCTCCATTTTTTAAAAAAATTTATCTAAGGGGCGCCTTAATATCTATTAAGGGGCGCCTGGGTGTCTCAGTCTGTTAAGCGTCCGACTTCAGCTCAGGCATTGATCTCGCGGTCCGTGAGTTCGAGCCCCGCGTCGGGCTCTGTGCTGATGGCTCAGAGCCTGGAGCCTGTCTCCGATTCTGTGTCTCCCTCTCTCTCTGCCCCTCCCCCCACATGCTCTGCCTCTGAAAAACGAATAAACCTTAAAAAAAAATTTAAAAGGCTTTATTTAAGGGGCTCTTGGCTGGTTCAGTGGGACGTGTACGAGGAGACTCTTGATCTTGGGGTCATGCGATTGAGCCCCACGTTGGGAGGTAGACTGTACTTAAAAAAGTGTATTTATGGGCGCCTGGGTGGCTCAGTCGGTTAACCTTTGGACTTAGGCTCAGGTCAGGATCTCACAGCTCCTGAGTTCCAGCCCTGCGTCTGGCTCTCTGCTCTCAGCACAGGGCCCGCTTAGGATCGCTTAGGATCCTCTGTCTCCCCTCCCTCTTTGCCCCCGCCCCCCTCCCCCAAATAAACATTTTTAAAAATCTTTGAAGCTTTTATTTAAATTTCAGTAATGTTAGTTTCAGGTGTACAATATAGTTATTCAACACTGCCTTCCATACAACACCCAGTGCTCATCAGGGCAAGTGCACTCCTTCGTCCCCATCACCTATCTCACCCACCCCCCCCCCCCACCTCGCCTCTGGTAACCAGCTGTTTGTTCTCTGTAGTTAAGAGTCCCTTCCCTCCCCTCCCCTCCCCTCCGTTCCCCTTCATTCTTTTCTTCCTCCGTCCCTCTTTTTTTCCTTTCTTTTTTCTTTTGAGAGAGAGCATGTGTGAGCAGGGGAGGGGCAGAGAGGGGGAGAGAGAGAGAGAGAAAAACTATCCCATTGTCACCCTGGAGCCCGACTCCACCCGGGGCTCGAAGTCACGCATCTCGAAATCATGAACTGAGCCAAAAATAAGACTCAGATGCTTAGCCAACTGAACCACCCAGGCGCACCGAAGTCTGTTTCTTAAGGGGCGCCTGGGTGACTCTGTTGGTTGAAGTGTCCAACCTCGGCTCAGGTCATGATCTCAAGGTTCGTGAGTCTGAGCCCCGCACTGGGCTCTCTGCGGTCAGTGCCGAGTCCGCCTCAGATCATCTGTCCCCCTCTCCGCCTCTCCCCCGCTCGCTCACTCTCTCAAAAATAAATAACATTAAAAAAAAATTGTTTTTTTAAGGCGTCCGTTTCTTGGTTTGCCTCTCTCTCTCTCAGCGTCATCCATGAGGGTTGGAAACAACTTCCAAATTCCCGGTACTATTAATAGTTTGCCCTCTTCCCATGAGCCACCAGAAGTATACAATGATAATGGAAATGTTTGGAATGGTACGAGAATTCCCAAAACGAGACACAAAGTCAGCAAATGCTGTTGGAAAAGCGGTGCCGTTTGATGTGGGGTTTTCGCAAACCTTCAATTTGTTTAAAAAAAAAAAGGGGGCACTATTTGTGAAGCAGAATAAAGTGAAGCTCCTTAGAACGAGGTATTCCTGTTCGCATCTTGGCATTTTCTAGGAAGGCCATCCTATCATCTGCAAACAGGGCGAGTTTTATTTCTTCCTTTCCAATCGGTATGCCCCTCATTTCCTTTTCTTGCCTTATTGCACTGGCTGGAATTTCCAGCACTGCGTTGGATACGGGTGGCGAGCGTGAACATCCTTGCCCTGTTCCCTCTGTTACGGGGAAAGCGTCTAGTCTTTCCGCATCGAGTACAATGTTAACTGCAAGTGAGTTGCTTTCCATCTGTTTCTAGTTTGCTGAGAGTTTTTACCATGCATGGGTGTTGAGTTTTGTCCAATGCCTTTTCTGTATCAGTTGAAATGATCTTGACGGAGACCTTTCTTCCTTAGTTTGCGCATTAGTTTCCTGTGGCTGCTCTGACAAATTACCTCAAGCGTGGAGGCTTAAAATGACACAAATGTATTTCGTGGATCTCACAGAACCGAAATCAAGGGGTTGCCAGAGATGCATTCTTTTCAGGAGGCTCAGAAGATGACTCGATTTCCCTGCCTTTTCCAGTTTCTAGAAGCTTCTTGGGTTCCTTGACTCATGGTCCCCTTTCTCCATCTCCAAAACCAGCAAATACAGGCAGAATCCTTACATCACATCACTCCAAATTTCTTCTGCTGTGACTACTGTCGTCTGCTTTTAAGGACCCCTGTGATGGCATCTCCCCCACCCAGCTAATCCAGGCTAATTTCTTTTTTTTTTTTAATTTTTTTCAACGTTTTTTATTTATTTTTGGGACAGAGAGAGACAGAGCATGAACGGGGGAGGGGCAGAGAGAGAGGGAGACACAGAATCGGAAACAGGCTCCAGGCTCCGAGCCATCAGCCCAGAGCCTGACGCGGGGCTCGAACTCACGGACTGCGAGATCGTGACCTGGCTGAAGTCGGACGCTCAACCGACTGCGCCACCCAGGCGCCCCTGGAAGACATTTTTTAAAAAGTGGTGTTAATTCTTTGAATCTTTGGTACAATTCTCCATGTGGGCACGGAGATTTATTTTTGAGGAGTCTTAAAATTACAAATTTAATTTCCTTGATCATTATAGGGCAGCCTGGACTTTATACACATAGCAAAAAATAGCCTTTGCAATCCACTCAAGAGCCGTGTGACTTGGCAATCTTTTCATCTGATGAACTAATAAAGTTAATAACAATGCCTGCCATAAAGGGATGCCATAGGGGCACCTGGGTGGCTCAGTTAGTTGAGTGTCTGATTTCGGCTGGGGTCATGCTCCCGGGGTCCTGGGATAGAGCCCTGCATCAGGCTCCACACTGGGCGTGGAACCTGCTTGGGATTCTGTCTCTCTCTGCCTCTCCTCGACTAGTGCTCACACTTGCTCTCTCCCTCAAAAATGAATATTTTTACAAAATTAAATTTAGTTAAAAAAAATTCAAAAGGGGGCACCATAAATGGTTAATAAGGTCACAGCAATTTGTTTGAATTGAATTGTATTTATCAAAGGCAATGGGAGCCATAGAAGGATGTAGAGTAGGGGAGGGAGGTGGTCACAGTTGCATTTTGGTAAGATCCCTCTGGGGCCAGTGTGGAAGGTGGATGAGGTGGAGGCTGTGTATAGAGGTCTGAGGCTCAAGGTGATGACCAGGGCCCAGCTGGGAGGAGGAGGTCCGGTCCAGGATTTGGGGAACAGAGTCAAAGGAACGTGGGCAAGGACATGGGGGACTAAACTGAGGTCAAGAGTCCAGGGCTGCTGGGGAATGCCCAGTTGGTGGCTGGACCTGCGGTGGGGGGTGTCTGTGTGGGGAAACTGCAGCAGGAGGCGTGGGCTTGACAAAAAAAGAGTATTAATTCCCATTTGTCCAGCTCTTAATTCTTGTGATGCCCCATTCGTTAACAACCTTGAGGGAGTCATCATGATCGTCCCCATGGTGAAACAGAGACGCGGAGCCACTTGGCCAAAGTCACAGGGCTGGGATGTGGTGGACCAGGATCTGGAGCCAGGTCCGTTGATTGCAGACCACCGTCCCATAACATTCCCCCCCCCCCCCCCCCCCCCCCGCCCCGCCCCCCCTCCCAACCGGGGCGGGGACCCCCGGCCGGGGTTGAGCCGAGCCCGTAACTCCCAGCAGTTTCGGAAAGGCCCCATCCCCGGCTTGCAGCCCTGCCAGGGCCTGGGGACTCCTAGTCCTGGGAGGTGCCGCTGCGCCTCAGAGCAAAGGTCTTGGGCCAGGGGCCGGGGACAAAGGACGGCACTGAAACCGACCCGCGAACACCCAACTCGGCTCCGCCTCCGAGAGCCCGGCGCGAGGAGGCGTGGGAAGTCGGGGGGCGCGCCAGCCTGAGGGCACGTTCTGACCCGGGATCTGATTGGCTGGCACAGGGCCAAACTCTACAACTGAATGGATACGTGAGGCCCGGGGGCTCCTGTGATTGGCCGAGGGCTACGCGTTTGGCGGAAGCAGCGGTTTAACATTGATTGGCTGGAGGGAATCCCACGACTGCTGCCTATTGGTTGAAGTTTAAATGACCCTCCTATAATTGGTTGTTGGGCTCCGCTTGGGCCCAACCGTGGAATCGGCCCAGGGGAATGGGAGTTAACCCTTTAGAGACTGACGTCCGGCTCAGGCGCTTTATTTATTTTTATTATTACTTAAAATTTTTTATTTTTAAAGTAGTCTCTACACCCAACATGGAACTCGAACTTACAGCCCCGAGATCAACAGGCGCCTGCTTTACGGACTGAGCCAGCCGGGCGCTCCGCCTTGGGCGCTTTAGACCTTCCCCATCCGGCCTGCAGCCCCAGGGCGCTCTGGCTCGTTCTCCGGGGGTTTCTCCCCTGGTCTCCACAGCTGAGACTTCTGGTCCCTCAAGTGTCCCACCCCGCCCGGTCCTAGTGAACTGAGTCCCCCGCGCCCCCCAGCTCCGGGTCTAAATCCAATAACAGGCCGCCCCAGTGGAGCCACT